CCTCCAGCTCCTTGGCCCCCATCACCTGGTGCATGTAGGGGATCTGGTGGCGGAAGGGAATGAAGTAGCCCAGGAGGCGTTCCAGCCACCTGGCCCTCAAGTGCTGTTCCAACGCTCGTTGGGATGTCGGCAGTTGGGTTTTGATCTTCCCTGGTTTCCAATGCCGCCACTTGTTGGCCACTGCCAGGACATCCGGGGCCTCAATCGATCCGGAGAGGATCCACTCCTCACGGTCCCGGATGGCCTGTTCCATTTCCAGTGGAGAATAGGTGTACGATTGTCTAGCGCCTGCCGCACGAAACAGAAGTTGCTGCAGGGTCTTGGTACCGAGCTCCAAATCCGCCTCCTCCAGCGGTTGTGGTTGGGAGCCGAGTATCCTTGCGAGGATCAAGTTGTAGGTGTCCGAGGCCACCAGGACATGGTCATCGTCGGGTGCCATCCCCACGATTCGTGTCCACGGTCGCGGGTCGAAGACCACCGCATCCGGGTTGGCAACCTGGTCCTTTTTGACCCATTCCAGGCAGCACGCCACGAGGATTTCCCCGTCCGACTGCACTGGTGCAAATCCAAGGTCATGCAAAATCAACTGGACCGCGGTTGGGACCCCTAGGAAGGTCGTTCCAAACGGGGAAGGGAGGCGGGGCCTCCACATCATCATGATCCACTCGAGCCCGGAGCCAAATCTCAAGGCGCCTTGCACGCACTTCAAAAGAGAGACCCGGGAAAAGGCCCCGGGGAGCCCCAAGTCCTCTTCCGGGTCTCTCTTTCACTCAATGCATGCGGCAGATCGCTTCTTGGACGGGTCCGGGGTCTTTTCGCGAAGCCGGACGTTGGAGGCCCACATCCACTCCGGAAAGTGAAACCCGGGCGGCCCCAAAAACCCCGGAAAGCCAAACCCGAAAACGGGGGGGGGGGGGACCCGGGGAGCCTCCACGGAAAGGGAAAACCAAACGAGGGGGGGGGGGGAGCCCAGGCGCACTCCGGACCAGCCCAAGCGCGCCCCTTTTTCTCGCCTGGTGCAGGCCAAGGCCTGTGCTGTGCCCGGGGGGGATATCAGCGCCATCGGCAGCTGTCCTCCCCCGGGGTGCCCTGCAATTCCGTTCCGGATGGCCGCAGTGTTGCATGATCACACGGCCCCCTTGGCAATGTCGTCAATGCGCTTGAGCGCCGCCGCCTCCGGGTTCCGGAGAATCAGCTCCCAGATGGCATCTGAGACATGGCCGGTCTGGGTGACGTGGCTGAACCTAAATCGTGGGACTTTCTGGTCCACCACGGAGACATCCCGCAGCGGGGCAGACGGCTCTACCCGGCGGTAGAACTCCAGCCGTTCCTTGACCCAGCGGTTGTACAGTCCATCGGGCGGCTCGTCCAGCACCAGCTGAAGGATGGCCTTGCCGGCCCGGATCTGGAGGAGGCGAGTGCCCCCTCCCCCGGCGCGCCAGTACCCCTTGCAGTACTTGCACATATAGCCCCCCCGGGTTTCCCCCTTCGTCTTGGGGATGAGCTCCCATGGGGTGACTGAGCTCAGAACCAGGCCGCACTCCATGTGCGCCCAGAAGACGTGCTTCGTCTCTGCCGAGAAGTTCTTCTTCTTGTACTCCTTGCCCACCACGCCGTGGACGTTGTCCGATGTGATGGGGGGGTAGACGATCCCCTCATCGCCCTCTCCTCCCCTGGGGCGGATGTCAGGGCCATCGGCACCTGTCCGGCACCCGGGGGCGGAGGGGTCCAGGCCCATCAGCTTGATCATGTCGTTGGTGTAGCCAAGCTTGCGGTAGATGGAGGGGGCCACTGAGTCGGGGACTGCGCCGACCCACCACTGCTTCGTGTTGCAGCGCCAGTTGACTTTCACCTCCGCCAGGGCCCCCGGGCCTCCAATGCGGTCCATGAGGGCCTGGTACACCTCTGGGAACTGCTGGAGACTCTCCACCGGGACAGATATGCGCTCATCACATACCGCCCGGAGGATCATCTGTTCCTTGGAGTCCGCCACGTCCTGGACCGGGAGCTGCATTACCTCCGCCGGGGTGTCCGTGAGGAAGGCCCGGGCCGCAAGGACCTTGCCCATGGCCCGGTAGACCAGGCGCCACTCCGGTCCTGTCTGCGGAAGCGGAAGGCCCTCCTCCTTCAGGAAGCACCGAGCATCTTCCTTCAGGGTCTCCCAGCCTTCCAGGCGGATCTGATTCTGGGCCTTGTTCTTCGGGCCCCGCTGCCTAGGGCCCTGAAGCAATGGCAGAGACTCCCAGACTCCCCAGAGCTGGCGCAGAGTGAAGCTGTGACCAAACATCCCCAGCAAGCCTGGGAGTGTCCAGGACGAGATCTGGCGCGTCCAGTGGAAGTCCTCCTCCGGATCGTGGGGGGCCGCCCAGAAGATGGATCGCAGGTCCTCGGGGTATGGTCGGTCCCCCGCCTTGGCCTGCTGGTTCAGCTCCTCAACGGAGTACCTGGCCCATGGGAGTCCACCCGCCTGGTGGTTCCTGGGATGCGTACCCTTTTCCAGCGCCTCCGGATTCACCTTGGTGAGGTTGTTGGCCCAGTCCGGGACGTGTAAGGGCCCCGGTCGTCGGACCCAGCGGCCGCAAAGATGCGGACCTCTCCGACACGCTTGCTCATCATCCAGCGCAGGACCGCGAGCTGCACCTCCTGGGTGTCCAGGCCCCCCGGGGTGGCGGACGGCTTGTCAGGGCCCTCGGCACCTGAGCTCGTCGCACCAGAGCCCGAAGCTGGGGGGATGGTGGGCTGCCTGTCAGGGCCCTCGGCACCTGGGCGCGCCGCACCAGAGCCCCCCGCCTTTGGAATGGGGATCCCCGCCAGATCCGGCAGATCTGCCAGGAGGGCCCCCGGAAAGGGGTTCCTACCCAGCGAGATGACCGCCTTGGCTTCGAGGTAGGAGTCCGTGAGGGACGTGAGGTCGTCCATGCTGAAATCCCTCCATGCCGTGGTCGGCTCAAAGACCCCTGTCTCAATGGCAACTCGGATCTCGCTAGGCCACGCACTGAATGGAGGCTTGATGGGCTCGAGCATTCTGGTCTCGAGGGCGCCCTTCGCTTGTCTGGCCTGGTGCTTTGCCTTCGCCTCTTCCGCAGTGGTCTGGGCCTGGAGGAGCTCCGGTGTGGGCCTCCCCCAGTCCGCGCCCAGCTTATCCAGCAGTTTCTCGCGGAAAAGGTCCAAGTCCAAATTCTTGAGGAGTTGTCCCCCATCGCCTCCTCCATCGATGGCCCCTCCTTGGAGCTCGTGGAGGACCGCCGCAGATCGCTCCACCGCTGCCACCTGGTCTGCCTTCTTTGCCTCTTCCTGGGCGATGGTGGTGGCGTTGAGCCGGGTCTGGATTTTGAAGGCCTTCACTGCCGACGGGTGGAAGGCCCTGCACTCCTGGCCCTCTTCCTTGTCGCCCGGCAACGGGGGCCTTTCCCCCATTGGGGCCGTCAGGAAATCCTCGTCCAGCTCCATGGGGCAGTTCCTGATCACCGCCCGGACCGAGGAGGGGACAAAATCCGAGAAGCTGGCCTGGTCCAGGTTCTCGCATGCCATTGGGTCGGTGGCCAGCTCGCTGACATCCACCGAGGCGCTGAGCTTGAGGTCGCGGGCCCGGTCCGTGTCAGGGCCATCGGCACCTGCGGACCGGGCCGCCGTCCAGACCGCATTGCCCTGGTCATCCACTGTCAGCTGCCAGTGCGTGCCCGCCATTTCCAGGGTGGCCAAGTTGGACGCCGTGTCGATGGGCTCCGTCTTTTTGCCGCACCCCATACACTTCCTGGCGCCCTTCTTCACCCAGGGCATGGTGCAGCAGGGGCAGATCCAGGATGTGGGCTCCTTACCCAGGGGGCGGTTCTCAAGGCCCCCATACCCCAGGCCAGCGCGCTTGCCAACCTTCTGTCCCGGGGTGCTGAGCAGGGCCTCATGCTCATACTTCATCTTGGCGATGTAGAACGCCTCCACCACGCGCTCCAGGCCCCCCTGCTTGAGTTGGGGGCCCTCAAAGCCTCTCAAGAGCCGCTGGACATCCTTGGCCTGCAGTCGTCGGAGCCTGGCGGCCGTGGTCCCATCAAAACACGGGAAGTCGCCCGCCATCTGGTCCGCACTGAATTGGTAAAGGCCCTCAGAGACTTTGAGGGCCTTGGTGAAGACGCTTCCCCCTTACGCGGGGGCTGCGGGGTCCTCATCCCCCTCCGAGGACACCTGCGCCCTGGCCTTTTCCATAAGGTCCTGGCGTCCCTGCCACTTGGTGTCGGACATCGGGGGGTCCACCTCATCTTCCGCCAGGGGTTCCTCCATCGGGGGCTCCTCCTCGTCTTCCGCCAGGAGTTCCTCCATGGGAACATCCGGCTCTGGAGGGTCGAGAAGCTCCAGGAACGCCCCTGGGGGGCGTGTCAGGGCCTTCGGCACCTGCGCCACCCCAGGGGGGGAGTCCGCCATCAGCTCGTCCTCGGCCTTACGCTTGGCTGGGATGAGTGGGGCTTGCTCCAGCTCGTCGGCGCTGGAGAAGAACCGTTCGTCCGGTGCCTGAGGGACCTCAGCCGCCAGGACGGTCCAACCTTCAAGGCTTGCCAGGTACTTCGCCATGGATGCCTTCGCCTTCGCCTTAGCCTCTGCAACCGCGGCACCAGCATAGGCGGGGGTGTACATGGCTTTGATAGGAGGGGAATGAGAAATTTCAGATTCCAAGACAAAAGGGAAGTGTCCACTTGAGCCAAAATGGTGGCCCAAGTGGATACTTACAAAGAGTCAAGACAAGCGACCACCTACGGTTAACACTTTAGCCCAGAAGCTCGAATCAAACTGTTCTCAAAGGTCAACATGGCTGTGGGTCACAAACATGTACCCAACATGGAACCCTAGTAAATGGAAACTTGGACTACAACCTGCGGTCCCCTGGTGGTTTGATCTTGACCCACACCCACATGGCAAGTAAGTGAGCCGTCACTCCGAAAACCCGGGGGGGGGGAGGGCTTCGCGACTTGACCTCGGCCGTTCCATCGCGAAGTCAACGAGGCCCCAGCTGATCTCTGGGATCCGCCACAACCATGTAGGTCTCCTGCAGCGGGCCGATGATCATCTCCTGCGGCTTCGGTGCATCGGTGCAGCGGGGAAAAATGTCTGGGGCGACTCTGGTGCTTTTCAGCTTGTCACGTCCGTACTTCGGTGGCTTGCGTGTTTGCCGAATTGCTTGCCTAGTGGGTTGTGTTTCAACTTCCCATTGGCTTCTTCGGCCATTTCAAACGAATGTGTGGGTGTGTATGTGTGTCTGTCAAGATCAAGGGGGTGGTTTCCCTCTGGTCTCCCTCATTAAAAAAAAAAAAAACGTTCAAAAAGGGCGACATCCCCTGAACCCGCATCCCGTCCTGAAGCATGCCCAGGATCTTCTCTTCCAACTCTGGGTGCTTCTGCGCGAAGCCCCTGGCACGGAGAAGCTGTGCAATTTCTGCAAGGGATCCGGATGCATTATACACCTGAACATTGCAACCAGATGGTGGTAAACCCAACTGTATTGTGGTGCTGAAAAAGCCACATGTTTCAAATGGTGGCAAAATGGAGATCTTTTAGGAGCCCGGTTTCTGTAAGGGAGAATGGGTGGATGGGATTTGTTTGCGCGTGTCCCATGGACCCAGGAAGAAACAGGGGTTCAAATCGAAATCCCACCAATCGGGGGGGGTTCCCAGTGAACCTTGTATTGCTGGGTCCTTTGGAAAGCTGCTTCTCATCTTCGGCAATGTGTTTGGTGGCTCCCCAAACGCCCCGTACAGTTGACCCCCTATGCATCAACCCCAGCTTTTGTTGGGGGGGTGTTCATTTCTGGGTTTAGTGGGGAATCAGACCACTTTTGCAGAAGAACACCCTATTCATCAACTGGGGTTGACTGATATGGGGTCGACCTTGTCTTCTGACAGCATCTGTTGGACGGCAGGATGGCTTTGTAGCACATGTAGCGCTGCTTCATGGCCCTTCGGCCCTTTGGCCGTTGTGCCAGAAGAACATACGAAGCCAAATCCACAGGGAAGCGGGGATCAAGTGGAAGCCCAAAAAACCAGAAATTCACAAGGCTGTGGGTCAAATTAAACCACAAGGAAAAAATGCACTTGGTTCCATTTACCAGGGCTCCATTTGAGTACCTATTTTTGAGGAAGGGCGCGGTTTTGGCCTCATCTGCAGAGCACACTCTGCGCTGGCCTCCAAATAACATGAGTTCAACATGCAAGTAGCAAACCAGAAACCTACTCATCGCGCCGATATGACTTATGAACTTCAAGTAGGCGCCCGAAATGGTGGGCATCACTTCGGTGGTGGACATAATGCCCACCAACCACTTTCAAGGGGGTTCCTTCTTAAGAAACAAACTGCCATATAGGAGAACCAACGCAGTCATGATGGCAACCGCCGAAAGCATGGCGAACTCAAGCCCACCGAATCCGCCACATCCGTAGCAGGTCTCTCACCCCGCTTGCCACCGAACGAGCAAAAGGAATCACCCTGAGTGACCATCCCATGACAATCATAGGCACCAGCCACAGCGGCACTGCTCACCAGCACAGGTTGTGCCATCTACATTCAACCAACGGGTCGCTTGATGGCATCAGGGGGAACAACCAACCACTTGTTCAAAGGTGTTTAGCTCCTTCGGAATTGGACCGAATTGGTTCTAGGCGCGGTCAAGCCCATTCTGCCCCACCAAAGGAAATGGGGAGGAGCCGGAACAAACTGAGCCCCCAAAACCCAGGAAACCCCAGTGAAATCTGGGCTTGCCTGTTTTTCCAGCCTCATGGGTCAAAAAAGGTGGCTTCAACAAATACCCTTTCTCTAGTGGATGGTTTCTTTGTGGGTGAAAAAAAAAGCCCGATCTTCTACTGAGCCTCTGGGTCCCGCAAGTGGTGTGGTCATTCGGTTGTGTGTCTGAAGGGGTTCCCCTTTTGGATGGCCTAAACGCTGGAAACTGAAAGGAATACTAACATTGTCCATAGGCTGCTGTCTATTGCAGACTTGCTGTTCCACCTCCTAAAGATAAGCGAACTCCGACATTGCTCCCAAAATGACCCAGGTTGAAGCACCACTGGAAGGCTTGGGCCGGTCCTAGCTTAACCAACTGGAAACCTTGAGTAAGCCTCATAGGGTTTGAGGAACCCTCCCATAGGTCCCCAAACCTCAGCCCAGTGTGCCTTTCTCCTCCCCCTGAATGGACCCCCTGAAAACAGTCGGCACAACACGAAGTGGTCCCAAGAGGGCCACAAACCCTGGATGGTTGACTTACAAACCCGTCAGACCCTGCAAACACCCCCATCCCTACGCTTGTCAACAACCTACACTTTTCACCATAACACCTGTGTTGTCACACACACAAAAAAAAGAAAGAACAAAAGAAGAAGAACAAACCAAGAAAAAAAAAAAGAAGAAGAGAAAAAAAGGAGAAAGAAACAAAACAAAAAAGACAACAAACCAGTGCCCAAGCGTCAGCTTGCTCGCCTCAAGGCGTCCATGCAGTTGTCCCCAATTTCAAACTCATCGATGACCTAACTCATCGATCCGAGACAAATCACAGCCCCTCCTCCAAACACCCCCCCCTCCCCCCCGCCCCCTTTTGCCAAGGTATGTTGTTAGGAAAAGAGACAACACGCATTTTCCATACAGAAACGTCTGAAAGTTGGCATCATACCCCCAAGAATCGGGCGGGAATTTGGCGGAAACCATGGGAGGGAAGACCGTTCCCATAAGTACACAAGGGCCCTTCTGAGGGGTGAGCATTTTTGGACGTGAATTAGGCGACAAAAGTGTGACGAGCAAGGGAAAGGGAACGACTCACCACCTCTCCCTTCAGAAATCGGAGTCCCAGCTGCATTTCGGAAGGATGCGGTTTCCAAACAAGGGTACCGATTGAAGAAAGTGCATCACGCTCGAACTGAAGCGCAAGTCGGGTGGGGAATCCTGAAAAAGCTAGGGCACAACATGTGCAGAAATGGTGGTCATAGTCCCCCCGCCCCCGCACATACACAGACACACACACAAAATATTAAACACAAGCTGCATAGCTTCCGATGCCCAGACATGACAGACCGAGACCACATCATGACTCCAGCTGGTCGAGAATACAACTGAAAGGTCAACCAACATGGATTGCTCCGCTGAGAATCATTGATCAAAAGCGATGAAATGCCAAGGTCCAGCGAGTTCTGAATCGAAAGCACTTCCTTTAAGCCTTTGAGGGTCCAAACAGCTCTGAACCGTAGCAAGAAAATGAAAATCTGCAGCTCAGCCGACATTCAAGCCCGTGGCCAAGTCATTCCTGAACACAACAGAAACCTGAGCATAAACACGTGTGTATATATATATATAATCATGTTATGTGCAGGCACAAACATAGATAAAAAGACAGATTGGATTGGATTGGAGTGGATTACAATAGATTAATAGATAGATTGTTAGATTTATAGAGGATGGTTAGATAGAAAAAGATAGAGTACATAGATTAGATATATACATAAATACATGTATGTGTATATGTATATAGACATATGTATGTGTAAATGCAAACATGAATAGCTATATATATATATGTACACATATGGGCAAACATGTATGCATATGTGTGTATGCATATATTTCTATAATATGATATGATATGATATGATATGACATGATATACAGTAATATAACATAATACAATATATCATACTATAACATACCATAACATAACATAACGCAGCGTAAAGTAGCATAACATGACTAAATATGCATGTGTACACGTATCGCTCCACTTTCCCGCACGCCATGTTTAGTCCGGTCTCGCTTCCGAGGCCGTCACGGACAGCTTCGCCACCGCGCGCAAGATGAGGATCTGACGATCCATGAAAGAGAAACGCCATGTTTGTGTGCGTTCCTTCCTGGCGGCTCCAATTTGGTACAAACTGCCAACCACTCGGTTGCAGCTGACTGGAAGTACATCGCACAAGTCCTCCATATTGGTAGCATGGCACTTTGTTTGTGGCTTTGAAGAGAATCCAAAAAGGACCCCCCCCAACTATGTTTGGGGGCCCTAAGGAAAGGACACACCCAAAGGTGTGGGACCATATCCTATGGTGTGTTGAGGGGTAGTTTGAGGGTCCAAATACTTGCGTTCAAAAACTTGCTGGTTCTTGACGACCTTAAACATTTTCGGGCTGGTATTGGCTTGCATCAAAAACCACTTTGCTTAAGTAAAGGCCCAGTGGGGGAATCACGGCAAAAATGGTTGCGGGACCAAAATCCTTGTGGAAATGGTCGCCGTCCCGCAAACCGCGGGCTATTGACCACAAAGAGAGGAAGCAAAAATCGACATCAAGCTCAACAATAACCAAAAAGGTACCATCCCTCAGGGTTCCCTTGGCCAGCTCACCTCCGCATCTTGAACTCTAAACACTCGATCGCGCCGAGTAGAACATGACTTTCACCTCTCCCCCCCTTCCCCAAAACTAAATGAATGGGATCAAAGTGGTGGATTTTGGCCATCAGGTGACCCAAAAACATGCGTCACATCCTCAAAGTTTGTTTGGCTCCCGAAGCAATCAAAGGTCCATCCCTCCCAATCGATCAACCCGCGTCGGCTATTTGCTCTCGCGCCTTCTGGTTCGGACCCTTCACTTTGGCCATTAGAAGATTGATGTCTCCTCAAGAAGGGACGGCAAGACAGGAACCCCACCCCCCATGTTGTTTTCGCTGCCCGCTGAGCCCGGTGTTTTGCAGCGTGATGGTTTGGTGTTCCGGGGTGTCTTCTCATCCCTCCATAACGACCAGGGCAGTTCAAATCTAAACTCAACCAGTCCAAACCACGATTCAGGGTTACCTGAATGTTCTTCACTTCCAGGAAGTGGATCGGCAGGAAAGAGGGGAAATGGTCTGCTCCAAAAGGATAGAGTCCAGGCACTCAGGGAGTCAGATGATGACATACGTAATTGAGGGCTGCATTGTGTTTACTACGTTTTTCGATGCATGATTCTCTTGCCATCACTTATTTTGGGGGTGAAAATCGCTCCACCACCCCATACTTGTACACGGCCCTCATGGTACCCTCCCAACCTGGCTGGCGCACAGACTGCTTTAAGATGATGCCTTGATTCAAACCTAGACGGCAGGCTAGCTGCCAAGAGGACCCCCGTCGGTCTCCAAATCCGGAAATCCCCCCAGGGGCAAGGTCGGCTCCAGTCTCTCCGTCAATGGTGCGGTCTCTCAAAACAGGGGTGCCTCAAACAGAAACCAAAAGGAAGCCAGCCATTTTTGTCCCACCCAAATGAAAAGGCCCCGCCCCCCCATCGAAAGAAAACCGATCCCACGAGTCTCGCGTTTTGGCTTTGGCGACCCCGGCGGATCATCGCATCGATCCGCTTCTTCGCGGGTGGGCCCTCAGATCCACATGGTCTCTTGCCATGCCCGTCGTGCGTCCAAAAATGGGCCCAGGGCCAAATGTCGCCTGAAAAGTGAGCACTTGAAATCTCACTTTGGCGGAAATGTTGACTTGGAAGCACCATTCAGAGGGCAGTCTTGAGGCTGTCGGTTGCCCAATCGGCCGAAACACAGGCTTTCCGTTTCCCTTTGATGCGTAGATCCCTCAAACATATTGAATGAACAAGTTGCCCCGTACGTTGCCATGTAATTGTTCAGCGACACGTACGAGGCTGACAAACGGATGTGTGTGTGTGTGTGTGTGTGTGTGTGTGTGTGTGTGTGTGTGTGTGTGTGTGTGTGTGTGTGTGTGTGTGTGTGTGTGTGTGTGTGTGTGTGTGTGTGTGTGTGTGTGTGTGTGTGTGTGTGTGTGTGTGTGTGTGTGTGTGTGTGTGTGTGTGTGTGTGTGTGTGTGTGTGTGTGTGTGTGTGTGTGTGTGTGTGTGTGTGTGTGTGTGTGTGTGTGTGTGTGTGTGTGTGTGTGTGTGTGTGTGTGTGTGTGTGTGTGTGTGTGTGTGTGTGTGTGTGTGTGTGTGTGTGTGTGTGTGTGTGTGTGTGTGTGTGTGTGTGTGTGTGTGTGTGTGTGTGTGTGTGTGTGTGTGTGTGTGTGTGTGTGTGTGTGTGTGTGTGTGTGTGTGTGTGTGTGTGTGTGTGTGTGTGTGTGTGTGTGTGTGTGTGTGTGTGTGTGTGTGTGTGTGTGTGTGTGTGTGTGTGTGTGTGTGTGTGTGTGTGTGTGTGTGTGTGTGTGTGTGTGTGTGTGTGTGTGTGTGTGTGTGTGTGTGTGTGTGTGTGTGTGTGTGTGTGTGTGTGTGTGTGTGTGTGTGTGTGTGTGTGTGTGTGTGTGTGTGTGTGTGTGTGTGTGTGTGTGTGTGTGTGTGTGTGTGTGTGTGTGTGTGTGTGGGTTGTGTGTGTGTGTGTGTGTGTGTGTGTGTGTGTGTGTGTGTGTGTGTGTGTGTGTGTGTGTGTGTGTGTGTGTGTGTGTGTGTGTGTGTGTGTGTGTGTGTGTGTGTGTGTGTGTGTGTGTGTGTGTGTGTGTGTGTGTGTGTGTGTGTGTGTGTGTGTGTGTGTGTGTGTGTGTGTGTGTGTGTGTGTGTGTGTGTGTGTGTGTGTGTGTGTGTGTGTGTGTGTGTGTGTGTTGTGTGTGTGTGTGTGTGTGTGTGTGTGTGTGTGTGTGTGTGTGTGTGTGTGTGTGTGTGTGTGTGTGTGTGTGTGTGTGTGTGTGTGTGTGTGTGTGTGTGTGTGTGTGTGTGTGTGTGTGTGTGTGTGTGTGTGTGTGTGTGTGTGTGTGTGTGTGTGTGTGTGTGTGTGTGTGTGTGTGTGTGTGTGTGTGTGTGTGTGTGTGTGTGTGTGTGTGTGTGTGTGTGTGTGTGTGTGTGTGTGTGTGTGTGTGTGTGTGTGTGTGTGTGTGTGTGTGTGTGTGTGTTGTGTGTGTGGTGTGTCTGTCTGTCTGTCTGTCTGTCTGTCTGTCTGTCTGTCTGTCTCTGTGTCTGTCTGTCTGTCTGTCTGTCTGTCTGTCTGTCTGTCTGTCTGTCTGTCTGTCTGTCTGTCTGTCTGTCTGTCTGTCTGTCTGTCTGTCTGTCTGTCTGTGTTTTCCCTTCTGGTTGGTAATGGAAACCCAAAGGAAACCAAGCCTTTTGAGGGCTCCCTTTTAGGACCAACCCAAATACCTTCAGCACCAAACCCAAGAGTTTAAGGAGTGAGGTCCTTTCAGGAGTTGCACACAGATTGACAGTGTCCTGTTCCTCCTTTCCAATATGTTGCAAGACTCTCTGATGCCAACATACCTAGCGAGGCAACCCATATCTTTCCAAACTGCTGCCTGTATGCCCAAACCCACGAAAGAAACAAAAGAGCGGCCGTTGGGACTACCCTTTGCTAACTTTCAACGTCGTTTTGACTGTGGCTCAAGGGACAAATGGGGATTCCAAATGTCACCAGCGGCCAAAAATGTCCAGTTCTTTCGCCACTTCCCCCATATGTTCGTCGGGCAGAACAATATTTGCTACATGGGTACTTTCAAGCACCAGAGGCCCCCCCCCCCCTCCGAAGAGAAGGCACACGAAATCGCAATTTCCGAGAAATTTAAGCAGCAGGAATCTTTCGTGATTGTGGATTTGGGCTATAATTTCAATTTGGTGCTTCGTATCGACTTCGTATTCGGTGTTGCATTGGTCTAAAGTTGCAGGCAATACAACTGGAGCTGGGGGCAGCGGGAAATTTGTTGGTTTGGAGTTGGTTTGGTCTTGGCGAATTCTACTTGCTGGTGCTCAGCAGGGAAGGAGAAATGGAATGAACCCAGGCTTTGGCCCTCTTGAGGGAGGGCTTCCCGGGGTCGTTCCCTTTCTCATTCCCTGCTCAGCACCAGCAAGTCTAGTTCAGTTTTGGAGAGTTGGGGTCGGGGAAGTAATATGAATGAGCAGTGTGGAGTTCTTTTCCAGGGTTCAGGGGAGCCCGAAGAACCAAATGCATTCCCAAGCGCCAAAAACAAATGGAACCTCCAAAAAAGCAGGGGGATCCTTCTGCTCCCATCAGCATTCCCAGAACGTTTCCCCCCCCCAAAAAAAAAAGAGAAGGCCAAGTTCTGGAAACCCTAACAGAGCAGGTACCAGGGTTGGGTAGTTGAGGGCTTAGAAAGCCTGAGGGAGCCTTAAGCGGAAAGGTGATCTTTGAACAACTCCCTTACACATCTTGACCCAAAAAGGGGTGCCATTTCCCAAACAGAGTGTCTGCCCATCCGATTCGTACGCAGTTTCGCCTTCCGCAACTCCTCCCTCAAGTTCGCCATGTCTGCGGGGATGCACTGCGAAATGGTGTGCGTCAGCCTGTCGCCACTTCCCGATCAACTTCCAACCTGAAAAGGGTGGCGTGTGGCCCGAAACCACCAATCCAAACCACCCACTAAGGGTTACCTAATTTGAGTTCCCTTTGCACCAACCCGAATGGGTAAAAACAAAAAGCACGCACACCCAGTTCACAAAAGAAAGGCCCATAAACAGGCGGCGGCAAACACATTCCAACGGTTTGGGAACGATTCATCCTTTCTTGAAGACTCGTGGGCAGCGACAAGCTCCAAGGAACCACGAGCAATCTTCGACTCGCGTTTGAAACATCATGGGAAAACAACAAATGTTGACCCCGGATTCATCAACCCCTGTTTATTAATAGGGGGTTCCCCTCCAATAGTGATGATTCCCCACTAAATAAACCCGGGAACCCCCCTGTTATTAATATACTGGGGTTGATTGATGGGGTCGACATTAGTCAGTTCTGGGAATGTCCCAAAATTTAGTGACATCAATGGATACCCCTTTGAACACTTTACAACTACTCTCCTGCGCTCTTCACACGGAACCCACAAACGGGCTCCCGTTCCCAAAAGGAGTTTCCTCCACAAATGGGCGTCTTTTGGTTCTCCATAACGTGTTCTGGACCCCTCTGAATGGTTTGGTTGGTCTTCCTTCCTGTTCCATACCAGGGAGGATGTAATGGGTGCAAAACCCGAGGACCCTGACTCAGAAGAAGCCCCCCCAAAGAATCGTCCGGAACCTCTCCCGATGGCAAAAATCAAAGGATCGACCAGCAGGCAGGAGCTCACCTGAAGCCCTGCGATCTGACAAAACGACTTCTATTCTGAAACGCTCATGTTTTATTACATGTTGATTTGAAATCGTGATGTCAGTATAAATAATTATTCTTGAATCAACACACATGTAATCAAATCAATCTGAAACGTAATTCAATATGTTTTGATTTGATTAGATGTTGAAGAGAAAGTCAGCGCGATATTGCTAGACAGCTTGATGCTTAAGTGTTTTGACACATGGCTGTGGGTATGGACCGCAGGTTGTAGTCATTGTTTCCATTTACCAGGGCCACCCATTTTGGGGTTACCCGATTTTTGACCCACACCCACATCGGCAGTGCTGTATAACTGAGCCCCGTGGACTTGCCAGCTTTGCCTACGCCATCCGATGGCGTAGGCGAAACCCGCCATCGCTTCGCGGAACTCCGCAGGTTTTCTTTCTTTTTGTTTCAGGAAGGCTACACGCACTTCGGGGCCACAGCATTGTTCTAGGGGTACCTTCCCGTTCTTTCCAGGGATCCTGCTTTTTCGAGAAACCATCACAAACCCTGGAAACGAAAAGAACGATGGTTGAAAAGAATGGGGAATCAACCCCTAGAACTGTGGCCGAGCAGGTACCCTGCAAGAGCATGGGGTTGCTTTTCAAATTTGGGGTTTCAAAGTGGCGGGTGTCCGGTTTGACAAACAAAAGCCCACCAAAACAAAAACAACAACAGCTACCAAATGCTTTGAATAACCTCCTTTGGGATTTTTGAGGGTCATCCATTATGGGCGGGGATTCCTTTTGGGACTTGTTTGGTGTGTTTCCGAAGAGTGTGTTCACTGAAATCAGAAAAGCAAACCCTACTTTTGGGTTTTCTGCAGGTCATGTCACGTCAATTTTGACATGCCCGTCCATTGGGCAGCATTCGACCCTAAACATAACATCTCAATACTGTGTTTTCCCCATCATAATATGTTCATACTGAGTTTCCCTTTTTTTACCGTCATCATTGTGGCGAAAGTCAAACACCTCAAATGCTACCACAGTTTAGTATCTCAGCATGGCATTTCCCTTAAATCTCGCTGATGCTCAGCAGGGAATGAGGGAATGACCCCCTATAAGCCATCCCTTGTGGTTTCCTTAAAGCACACTTCTGGGTTCAGTCCCACATTCCCCACCTATCGCACCAGCACGAAATCAACCAAGATGGTCTCCCCTCCGTCGCTTTTCCACCCAGCCGCCTCGTGAGCCCCGCAACGGCGATCTGCGGAGAGGGGTCGTTCAAGGCGCGCGCCTCCGGTGATATCAAACCCACAAAGGCTCGTTCCGCACCGTGGAGGGTTGCGAACTCCATGTCGCACCAGTTTTTGGAACCATGGGAACGAAACCTTAAAGATGGATTTTGCAACCATACACAGTGTGAGGAAGTGGGGTCTGTATGGTGGAACTTTCCGGCAATTCACACCGAACCTGATGTTTCGGGGGGGGGGGTCCGGTCCTGGAAGATCACGTTGTTCTTTACAGGCACCGGCAGGTTTCATGTTCATCGGGTCGGGAGGGTTATCCATGTTGCGAGCTGCTTGCCCCGAGGGGTTATTTCCAGGCACCGGGGTCCGGGGAAATGGAACCTTCACCCCCCCAAGCCACGGTGAACAGACAGGGCCTCCGAAGTATACGGGATTCGCCAGCTGAACACTTCCCGTTTTCCCGCCCCCCCCCCCCAATGGTGTCCTTTTGGCCGGTCGCGTTTTCCCCTTTTTCAATGGTGTCCTTTTGGGCGGTCGGAGAAATGGCCACCAGCAGGTGATACTTAAACCGGCTAGCAAGGGCAGCAAGAGTGTGGCTTAAAACCGTTGTTTGTGGTTTCGAGGGAAAACCCAAAGGAAAACCGATGCCATTTTGGGGGGGCCCTCACAATAGGTACACCCATAATACCCATATAGGAATTTAATGGTGGGCATCCAAATCAGTGATGATTCACGTCCAAGCACTGTGGTTGCTGGTTCCAACTCTTAAGCAAAATCAAAGTCAAGGAACTTATTCACGCCCCTTTTCACACACCCAGACTCGTTTTTGCTCGCCATGTGATTCTGACAAGGTGCAGGACATGGGAAAATCACATCCCCTGTTGTAAAAAGGGATGTGAGATAGCTCTTTGATGAAGGCTATATGGTTGTGGCTCAACAAAGTGTACCAAGATGGCACCTTGCCAAATGGAACCAAAGACTAACACCTGCGTAACCCCAGTTCCTCAATTTTGAGCCGTGAAACATTTCTCAAGAAGTACCCCAGAATGTTCGGGGGGGAAAAACGGCTCGATCTGGACTGCGGCATGAGCATAGGTGTCCTTTTGAAAAAATAGATGGCCCTGGCAAATGGAACCAACCCCATCTAAACCATTGCCTTCCATTCTTAACCAACCGATCAAAAGGACACGTGTGGCCATGAGTTTGCTGGGCGGCCCGGCGAAGAAGTCGGCCAGCTCCGCGAAGACCGTCTTCTTGTTGGCCGGCCGAAAGACCTGGAGCCCCGCACGGCGGAAGGCGGTCGGGGGCTCCATGGCGGGTTTTCCGTGGGAAAAAAATGGGAACATACGCTCGGCTGCTTTCTGCCCCCTGCTAAAAGTGAATCACATTTTGGTGGTTTAATACACAAAACCCATGAGTCGGCAAGAAGTTAAAGTCCTAACATCTAAGCAAAATGCACCAAAGTACCGTGGATAGTTGCGAAAACCCACGTTGAAACCATGGGAAACCATCGTTTGGTTGGTATTTACAGGGGAATCATCATTCCAGGGCTTGTTAGGTGGTGCAGAATTTCGACCATCCACAGTATGTCCAGCGAAATCGATTTACTTCGAAACCAGCAGAACACTGAAAGACTGAAGCAAATGGGAGGAGAATCCAATTCCCTGTTGTAGGTAAAGTTGTTCCCAGCCTTTCTATAAAAAGGGCCAACATTTGGTCCCCTAAAACCAAAGGACCAAACGTGTAACCTATACTCGCGAAATGCCTCAGCGCCACTGCATATACGCTTCTCAAAAGGACCTAAGCCTCCGAGTTGGGACGCCTGCTTGTAGAAAAACCCAGAGTTCCAACCCAAAAACAATGCTCCCAACCTCAGCGAGTGTCCTTAAAGCCGTCAATCCGAACCTCTGGGGTCGATTTTTGACTGGCGCGCCCGGCTGCCAAGGGCCCCTGGCAGCAAAACGCGTCCAACTCCACCGCGCGAAGCTTCGAGTAGACAAGAAACGCATAGGAACGCAGGACGCATGAACATGTTGACCCCTCACAGTGTTCACAGGCATCGATTCGTGAGAGAACCTGGCCAAGGACATCGTCTTGTGGCCGGAAGGAGCGTTTCCTCCAATGGGGCGAGGAAGGAAAAAGGCTTGCAATGCCATTTGCCAGGGTCCATGGAAGACCTGCTGTTTGTTTCCATTTATTGTTTGATTGAACTATTTGTTTATTCATTCATTCATCTGTCATTTCCTTGTTCTTTCCTCTCTCTTTTTTGAAGGGGGGCTGGTTCAAGGACACTGAACGACACGCGAAATCCCCTGTTTGATGTCTTCGCAAAGGATGAAGGGAGGCTGAGCAGCGGCTCTAAAAAGCTCTTACAGGAAGTTTCCCGGAAACCCTTCCCGTGAGTGGAACCGAACTTTTGCCCGCCGTCCCCCTCTGAATAAGCAAGCTTCCCGGTGGCCCGCCTGATCTTCGGCGGTCCTTCGAGCGGAACCAAAATTTCAACCGCCGGAAGCGCGTTCCCAGCCTTGGCCGCCTGCGTGGTATGATCCACCTGCCGGAAGCGTTTTTGGGCGCCTCGATGTCCTTGTTTCGAGCGGGCCCCTTTTTCGGGGGTGGTTTAACAAAGACAACCGACGCCATTTTGGGGCCAAACGACACACACAAATAACCAGGCGACCCCCGCGGCAAAGGCCTGTCAGCCTCCTCCCCCCTCACAAACCAACCAGGGGTTCCCCGGAAGGTCCATGACAAGTTTGCTGGGGCAAACGTGTGAATCTGAGCCACTCCCTCAAGCTTTATCTCCTTCCCCTCAGCTGGAAATTGCCTTTTCAAGAGCACCACCTGCAGAAATCGGCCCGTGAAAGCTATCTCTCGGCAGTTCCTCGGCATCACAGTTGAAGTGAACCTCTAGCCGCGCCCGCTCTCTTTAGGGCCCCTCTTCTTGAGAAAGTGCGCACAGGGAAAACCGAAACGTTTCTAACAAGCACGATGGGGAAGTCAACCCTTAGAAGAATCGGCTACCAACCCTTAAAATCGAAGCGAATGGCTATCAACATTGTAAAACACCAATGTGGCCAAAAGGGCAAGTGAACCCTGTTCGGTCAAAACGGGCACAAAGGTGCCCGAATTCTCTCTCTCAGTACTGTTTAATGAAAAATACGGTGGATTGCCCCAGATCCTGGTCCAGATGGATGTGACCCTTGTAAAAGTATTTCAGAAATCCACCCACAGTAGGGCGTTTTATGTCAGGGAGGGTCCTTCACTTTGGCAACGCCCAGAACCTTGATCCGAAATTCTACTTTCCGAGGCAAAGAGCCGGAACACAGATTTGGGTGTGTCTCAAGAGAGGAATCGAACCCAACAAAAACAGCTTCCCCCTACGGCTTACTGAAAACAACAACAAAAACAAAAAAAATGCCTCCTTGAAGTTGAAATGGGTGAACCGCACTTCGGCTTTCGTACCGAGAAGATCCGCATTCCCGCCTAAGCCATGGCCATGCTCTTTTGCCGTTCCCCAAAGGGCAGGGGAAATGTTGCTGTCTCCCATGTGGGCATGGGTCCAAATTACAGTAAACCACCAGGAATTGGACCGCAGATGTTTGTCCATGTTTCCATTTGCCGGGGTTCCGTTTTGGGTGCCTATTTTTGACCCACAGCCATGTCCTTTGCGGTGCTTGGGGGTCCGACTCCCAAAAGGAGATATGTCTTGAAATGAGGGTGAGTTGGGTTGCATGTGGGCGTGCCTTTTTTTGGGGGGGCCCTCCAAAATGGCGTCGGCTTCCTTTTCGTGTCCGTTTTGAAGAAAGGCTCCAACTCTCAAAAAGACGAGCCAACCATATTAATCTGCAGGGGAGCAACATCGGGTTCCATTCCCTGGTTGTGGTTGAAGTTCAGGGAACGTATCGCCGCTATTGTTCACAACCACTATTCTTTCATGGAAAACATGGTTCACTAGTTCAGCCACCAAACCGCTATTTGAACCACCAAACTCTATGTCAGCCACCTTTTCAACATATCAAACCACTGGCAAAGCTCTCCCGGCTCCCCGAACGTGTCGCTCAGCTCAGACGCTGCCTTCAGCTCCTGGTTCTTGTAGGCCAGCTCATCCAAGGCTCGGAGGTTCAGCTCGCTCCTCCCCGCAGCCTCCGATCTCGCGACGTGCCGAGTGATTTCGTCCCCAAGTTTCGATTTGTTGGTGCAGAACCCCAACAAAATTTGCGCCCCCAGTATAGTTTTGGAACTTGGAATCCAAAAGAAGGCCTTTAGGGACATGGAGACGGATTTTACTGGTAACTGGATGGCATAAAACACATCTAAACGGGTGAAATCCATTTATTTCTGGTTCGAAGGTGAATGCAGCTTTGGTTTGGAGCCCGGTTTGGCCTTGCTCGTTTCTTCGTCTTTTCCCGGCAGTGCCACAGTTCCCCCAAACGGGCCTTGAACCGCAAAAAGAGCACCGCGTCCGATGGGTAAGCTGTCAAAAGTGCAGCGCGCCTGTTTGGATGCCAAGGAAACGCGCCGCCTTGGATAAAGCAAACAACCGAGAAACAAAACAAAAAAGAAAACAAGATGGCGCCGCATCGCATCTTGCGGAAAAGACTCCTAACCCGAGGCTTGTGGGACGGCGCGCCTCCCGCGCTTGCGCCATGTTCGAAATGTCGTCCAACTTGCGAAGCCTAGGCTTGTGGACGTGTCTCCCGTATTCGTGGCCGGGCTTAGAGTGGGCCCAGGAAACATGGCTTGCACAGTTGCCCCAGTTTGGAAGGCGAAACCTGTGGATATGTGACGAAATAGGGTTCCCCCCCCAACAAAAAAACAAACTAAACTGGTGTCCTTTTGGTTTCCCAAAAAAACCAAACCCAAAAAGCATGCCGAGCCTCAAAAAGACTTAGACCTCTCGCCACCTCGAACATCCGCGTCCCTGGATTCTGGATGCTTTAGAAAGCCAAAGTTGCAAGGCGAGCTCCAACAAATACAACCCAACCACCACTCAGTTGCCCAAAGGACCCAGAAAGTACAAGGTTCACCTTTCCACCAAAAATCGGACACCAAAAGGTCAAACGCTCGGCTTTGGGCAACTGAGCTGGGAGTCGGCGGGCTGTGTTCCTCTCAATCCGTGAGTCAGCCTACATGGCTCAAGTCGGAAGACTTGCAAGGCAGAGGTCTGTCTCCCGGGACAGATCCTATCTTTTCGGACCAAACAAAACTGCCTCACCTATTTTCCCCGGCCATGGATGGAAGTCCGACGTCTTACCTTTCAGCTGTGATTCGCATGGGGTTTTCGGCACTCTCCAATCCGGTCTCCTATGGCCGTTTCCCCCGAAGGCTTCCACCCGTGCCCTCAAAACAGGCCCATGGCTGCCTAGTCCATTCCGAATGCTCCCAGGCGAACCAACCTGGTACCAGAAACAGGGAACCGGAAAGGAGGTGGTTTCTACACTTAAGCACTTTCAGCCATGGTTGATGCCAAAACGTTGGATCACCTACCTTGTTCGACCACGGCCAAAATTACAATCTTGCTTCTCTAAGAGGATATGAGCTGGTCTTTGTTCACCCCCTAACAACAAGGAACAGGTTCGTGAGTGGTTAGCCACTTGGTCTTTGTTCACCCCCTAACAACAAGGAACAGGTTCGTAAGTGGTTGGCCACTTGGTCTTTGTTCACCCCCTAACAACAAGGAAGAGGTTCGTAAGTGGTTAGCCACTTGGTCATTGTTCACCCCCTAACAACAAGGAACAGGTTCGTAGGTGGTTAGCCACTTGGTCATTGTTCACCCCCCAACAACAAGGAACAGGTTCGTAAGTGGTTAGGCACTTGGTCTTCGTTCACCCCTTAACAACAAGGAACAGGTTCGTAAGTGGTTAGCCACTTGGTCTTTGTTCACCCCCTAACAACAAGGAACAGGTTCGTAAGTGGTTAGCCACTTGGTCTTTGCAACAAGGAACTTGGTCTTTGTTCACCCCCTAACAACAAGGAACAGGTTTGTGAGTGGTTAGCTTGGTCTTTGTTCACCCCCTAACAACAAGGAACAGGTTCGTGAGTGGTTAGCCACTTGGTCTTTGTTCACCCCCCAGCAACAAGGAACAGGTTCGTAAGTGGTCAAGGAACAGGTTCGGAAGCGGTTAGCCACTTGGTCTTTGTTCACCCCCTAACAACAAGGAACAGGTTCGTAAGTGGTTAGCCACTTGGTCTTTGTTCACCCCCTAACAACAAGGAACAGGTTCGGAAGTGGTTAGCCACTTGGGTTTTGTTCACCCCCTAACAACAAGGAACAGGTTCGTACGTGGCTAGCCACTTGGGTTTTGTTCACCCCCTAACAACAAGGAACAGGTTCGTAAGTGGTTAGCCACTTGGTTTTTGTTCACCCCCTAACAACAAGTTCGTAAGTGATTAGCCACTTGGTCTTTGTTCACCCCCTAACAACAAGGAACAGGTTCGTAAGTGGTTAGCCACAACAAAAAACAGGTTCGTAAGTGGTTAGCCACTTGGTCTTTGTTCACCCCCTCGCAACACGGAACAGGTTCGTAAGTGGTTAGCCACTTGGTCTTTGTTCACCCCCTAACAACAAGGAACAGGTTCGTAAGTGGTTAGCCACTTGGTCTTTGTTCACCCCCTAACAACCAGGAACAGGTTCGTAAGTGGTTAGCCACTTGGGTTTTGTTCACCCCCTAACAACAAGGAACAGGTTCGTAAGTGGTTAGCCACTTGGTCTTTGTTCACCCCCCAACAACAAGGAACAGGTTCGTGAGTGGTTAGCCACTTGGGCTTTGTTCACCCCCTAACAACAAGGAACAGGTTCGTAAGTGGTTAGCCACTTGGTCTTTGTTCACCCCCTAACAACAAGGAACAGGTTCGTAAGTGGTTAGCCACTTGGTCTTTGTTCACCCCCTAACAACAAGGAACAGGTTCGGAAGTGGTTAGCCACTTGGTCTTTGTTCACCCCCTAACAACAAGGAACAGGTTCGGAAGTGGTTAGCCACTTGGGTTTTGTTCACCCCCTAACAACAAGGAACAGGTTCGTAAGTGGTTAGCCGCTTGGATTTTGTTCACCCCCTAACAACAAGGAACAGGTTCGTAAGTGGCTAGCCACTTGGTCTTTGTTCACCCCCTAACAACAAGGAACACGTTCGTAAGTGGTTAGCCACTTGGTCTTTGTTCACCCCCTAACAACAAGGAACAGGTTCGTGAGTGGTTAGCCACTTGGTCTTTGTTCACCCCCTAACAACAACGAACAGGTTCGTGAGTGGTTAGCCACTTGGTCTTTGTTCACCCCCCAGCAACAAGGAACAGGTTCGTAAGTGGTCAAGGAACAGGTTCGGAAGCGGTTAGCCACTTGGTCTTTGTTCACCCCCTAACAACAAGGAACAGGTTCGTGAGTGGTTAGCCACTTGGTCTTTGTTCACCTCCTAACAACAAGGAACAGGTTCGGAAGTGGTTAGCCACTTGGGTTTTGTTCACCCCCTAACAACAAGGAACAGGTTCGTACGTGGCTAGCCACTTGGGTTTTGTTCACCCCCTAACAACAAGGAACAGGTTCGGAAGTGGTTAGCCACTTGGGTTTTGTTCACCCCCTAACAACAAGGAACAAGTTCGTAAGTGATTAGCCACTTGGTCTTTGTTCACCCCCTAACAACAAGGAACAGGTTCGGAAGTGGTTAGCCACAACAAAAAACAGGTTCGTAAGTGGTTAGCCACTTGGTCTTTGTTCACCCCCTAACAACACGGAACAGGTTCGTAAGTGGTTAGCCACTTGGTCTTTGTTCACCCCCTAACAACAAGGAACCGGTTCGTAAGTGGTTAGCCACTTGGTCTTTGTTCACCCCCTAACAACCAGGAACAGGTTCGTAAGTGGTTAGCCACTTGGGTTTTGTTCACCCCCTAACAACAAGGAACAGGTTCGTAAGTGGTTAGCCACTTGGTCTTTGTTCACCCCCTAACAACAAGGAACAGGTTCGTGAGTGGTTAGCCACTTGGGTTTTGTTCACCCCCTAACAACAAGGAACAAGTTCGTAAGTGTTAGCCACTTGGTCTTTGTTCACCCCCTAACAACAAGGAACAGGTTCGTAAGTGGTTAGCCACTTGGTCTTTGTTCACCCCCTAACAACAAGGAACAGGTTCGTAAGTGGTTAGCCACTTGGGTCTTTGTTCACCCCGTAGCAACAAGGAACAGGTTTCGGAAGTGGTTAGCCACTTGGTCTTTGTTCACCCCCTAACAACAAGGAACAGGTTCGTAAGTGGTTAGCCACTTGGTCTTTGTTCACCCCCTAACAACAAGGAACAGGTTCGTAAGTGGTTAGCCACTTGGTCTTTGTTCACCCCCTAACAACAAGGAACAGGTTCGTAAGTGGTTAGCCACTTGGTCTTTGTTCACCCCGTAGCAACAAGGAACAGGTTCGGAAGTGGTTAGCCACTTGGTCTTTGTTCACCCCCTAACAACAAGGAACAGGTTCGTAAGTGGTTAGCCACTTGGTCTTTGTTCACCCCGTAACAACAAGGAACAGGTTCGGAAGTGGTTAGCCACTTGGTCTTTGTTCACCCCTAACAACAAGGAACAGGTTCGGAAGTGGTTAGCCACTTGGTCTTTGTTCACCCCCTAACAACAAGGAACAGGTTCGTAAGTGGTTAGCCACTTGGTCTTTGTTCACCCCGTAACAACAAGGAACAGGTTCGGAAGTGGTTAGCCACTTGGTCTTTGTTCACCCCTAACAACAAGGATAGCCCCATTTAGGGGGAACTTAGTTCAGTGGTTTATCACCTAGGATACCGCTGCAACTTTACTAACTTGGCCGGCCGAACACCCACGTAATCCCAGGTTCCATCTCCAGGGTCCAGGCTGCGGAAGTTTCTGGAGGCAAAGGATCTGGTACCTCGATTTCCCCCCCCTCCAAGTGATACGGCGGAGAAGCAACATCCTGCACTTGGTCACTGATTCATCCGAAGAATCCTAGGGGTTCATCTATCGCATCTGCTGCAGGATTGGTCCTTCGGTGGGTAAAAGGGACACCAGTAATTTTCAGCAACTCTGACCGCGAGACTCCAGAAACAGTCCAAGTAATGAGCCTTTGGGGTTCCCATCAGTGGCCACCTGAAACCAAACACGTTGAATGATCGTGCACCTCTGCCTCATCCATCGCAGCAAATTCCAAAAAAGCAACTCAGAGCTCCACGGGGGGACGGCCGTGCAGAAGGGATTGTCCTCTCGCGGACCAAAAGCTGAAACGGGAATGGGGTGTTCAAAAAAGAAAAGAAGAAAGAATCCTCAACACACACACACACACACAGACACAGACAGACACACAGACACACAGACACACAGACACACAGACACACAGACACACAGACACACAGACACACAGAGACACACAGAGACACACAGAGACACACAGAGACACACAGAGACACACAGAGACACACAGAGACACACAGAGACACACAGAGACACACAGAGACACACAGAGACACACAGAGACACACAGAGACACACAGAGACACACAGACACACAGACACACAGACACAGACACACAGACACACACAGACACACACAGACACACACAGACACACACAGAGACACACAGAGACACACAGAGACACACAGAGACACACAGAGACACACAGAGACACACAGAGACACACACAGACACACACAGACACACACAGACACACACAGACACACACAGACACACACAGACACACACAGACACACACAGACACACACAGACACACACAGACACACACAGACACACACAGACACACACAGACACACACAGACACACACAGACACACACAGACACACACAGACACACACAGACACACACAGACACACAGACACAGACACAGACACAGACAGACACACAGACACAGACACAGACACAGACACAGACACAGACACAGACACACACACACACACACACACACACACGGAACAATCAATCAAAAGAGAGGAACCCGTTTAGCCTGAGCCAAACATGTTTCAACCAAAAAATTGCTTGCTCTGTCTCCTCGTGGTGCCCCTTTTCTTGTTCTTGTTGTTATTGCTGCTGTTGTTATTGTTGTTGTTGCTGCTGCTGCCTCTGTTGTTGTTGTTGCTGTTGGTGGTGGTAGTGCCGCTGCCGCTGATACTGCCGCTGCTGCCGCTGCCGCCGCCACTGTTGAGGCGGCGCCGGCGGTGTTCTCGTTGTGTCAACTCCTTTTTCCTTTTTTCCCTTTTTTTTTCCGGGCGAGAGCGGGGCTGCCCAAGACATGGGAAGGGGGCGATAGCGGTCCTTCAGTTTCAGGGCCAGCGAAACCATCCCCTCCAAGTTCTCAAGCTGCTCGTAGAGCTGTGTGGCGCGGAAGTCGAACCTCAGGAGCCCTGCATTGAGGCTAAGGGGACACTACTTGGAGCCACGGGGCCAAGAGTGCGAGCTAAAGAGGGTAAAGAGTGGGCCTGGCAACGGCTGAGATCCCAAAAACCGAGGATTCCGATATCCGACCCTTTGACGCCCGGCACAGAACTACTCGAGTCACTAGCTCAACACCTGGTAGCTTGTACCAGAATGTCGTCCGCAACTCTCCCATCCTTGCCGGGATGTGTTTGTGTCTCCGAGGCATCCACGCGGAAAAAATGCCCTGCAGAAAGGTGCTTGCCCATGTGAGAGTGCTTAGTGGACCTTTTACACTGACCGTGCATCCTGCGATCAGCAAAAGCCTGCACCGGCGTGTTTGACATTCGCGCTCGGCTCAAACACCCGCGGGCCCAAGGGTTCTGGCCAACTGTGCATTGCGTTGTCCTAGCCACCGTGTCTCAATTGTCTTGCACATGGGTGCATCTTCTGCAGAGTGATGCTGACCCCAGATCCAATCAACTCTCCAGCTTTGGGGTAGATGTTCTCAAAGTGTCCAGGCGAAGTTTGTCTTTTGCCCGCCAAAAAACGCAACTCTGCATGCTTCATGACCCTTCAGCTGAAGCTCAACAATGGATCCCAGCCTCCGTCAACCGGCTGAAATGAAGTCCATATGACACCGAAGCCTCTATGTCAAAGGATACTGATACTCACCTGGCCCAGAATCGGGGCTTTTTGATTTTTGACAAAGCCCCAAAACGGCTCTTGGAGCCAGGTCCTGGGGCGACCAAGCGGTTGGGTGCAGTTTCTCCCGTCAAAAAAGCAGGAAAATGAGAGAGAGCGAGCCGCTGGTTGGAGGAGAGGTCCAGCTTCTTGAGCGCCTGCGAACAACGCTGGGCCGAAGTCTCGGAGAATTTGCGCCCCGAGCGTGGAGCCCAAAAGGGATTTGTTTTTTGGCCAGAGGAGATTTCCTCGAAAAGTGGGTGAGTTGTTGTTTGGGTTCCATCCAAAAAGAATGCAAGTTAGTTTTTGCCCAAGGAGGTGTGCGCAAGCGGTGAGTTGTTGCTTGGTTCTGTTAAACTGCAGGGGAGTAGAGTATGTTTGTTTCCATGTTAAACTGCAGGAGGAGTAGAGTCTTGTTTGGTTCCATGTGATTGGTTCCATGTTAAACTGCTGAAAAGTAGCTGATACCCTCTTGTGCACCTTGCCGTGGGGTTCCCGCCAGAGACATGGTCCCATGTTCAAGGAAAGTTGAAGCCAAAACCCCGAAACGTCAGTCTCCATGGCAACGTCGACTGGGGAATTTGCTCATCCTAACTGCAGGGCTTCGTCAATCCACAGTGCGCCTTTTTTGCAATTGCTCTCAAGTTCAAAGGTGGCCAACATTAGGTCATTGTGCAGGAAAAGAAGCCCTCTTTTTGCAGCAAGCCGCATTTTTTTGGAGCAAAGCCCCCCAAGTAGACGGGGCACTGGCTAAGTAATGATGGGTGTTCGGACCTGGGAGCTTGAAGATCCTCCGATTGGCCAACCACAATCGTCCCGGTTCAAAAGTTGAATCTGCTTCTTTGGGGAACCAGCCACTGGATTCCACCACAGCCTCAAATTTCGAGCGACAGGGATCTTTCTTAGGGGACCCCAAAAATAGTGGCTTTCTTCTAAAAAAAAAAAGTATCTACCCTCGAAAAGAGACTCGTCAGAAACCGCCGGGCCTCGAACCAAAGTTTTGAGAACCCCAAAACCGTGTGTTTACGTTAAGGGGCCGCAGTTGATGTGTTGCAGTCGGGATTCCCTGTTTTTGGGAGCTGCTCACATTGAAGCTCGTTCGCAACAAAAAGGCTCCAAACCATGTGCAGGTCTAAAAAATGAGAAGGGCTCCCCGTTTTTCTCCTTAGCTTTCCCCCTTTTCCCTTTCCACCACAGGTTCCAAGCGGACGGTTTGTCTGCCTGAGCCTTTCGCACCGCAGCGAGCGTGCCACCGATTTGGTTGTGGTCCAGAAGAAGGACCTGCGGAGCGCCGCGCCGAGAAACGGCCCGGGCGTCCGCCCCCAAAAAGATGCGGCGGCGTGTTTCCCAGGGTATAGCCCCCGCTCGCTCGGTTTCAGAGGCAAAACTAGCAGGCAAACGCCAAAAAAAAAACGTGAGGTTTCGCTATGGAACCCCCATTCCCTTGGGTTTTTTGAAACGGAAAACCAAAAGGCAACCAAAGGAATGCTGCGGGTTCGTCTATGGAACCCAACAAAAAGAACGTCCCCCCACGCAAGGGGAGCTTCTGGCACCTTTTCTCGAACGGGCCGAGTCCATCACGTGGCCCTTCGAGGTGAGTCGGGTGGTATCTGGTCGTTTGTGGTGTTTGTTTGTGTTGTTTTTTTATTCTTTCTTTTTTTTGCGTGGTTGTGTGTTTGTGTGCATGTCTGCTTGTGGGTGTTTGTGTCTGCTTGTGGGTGTTTGTGGTTGTGCGTGTCTGTTTGCATGTATTTGTGTTGACGCCGAACACAATGGATTCCGCGTGTTCTATGCCACTAGCTTCGAAGTTGCACCTTTCGAGGTCCGAAGCTGTGGCCCGCGTGGGCAACATGGAGGACCCAAGGACCACACGGACCCCGGCTTGTAAGGGAGCAACCTATCGCCACCTGTAACTAGAGGGGAGCCAAATGGAGGTTGATCCTGGCAAAACGAGGTTTGGTCTCGAAATTGTGGAATGGCCAACACCACCCCCCCCCCAAAAAAAAAAAAAAAAGGAGAAGTGGGCTTCCTTTTGGTGCCGTTGTGACTACTTTTGGAGGGAGCCAAAAGTCGCTTGCTGGCTAAGGAAGCCTAAAGGAAACCTCCGGACACCCCGACGCCCCTGATGTTTGAGGGATCTGGTTCTTTTCAAGCAGCAAACATCAACTGGCGCCTCCAACTTTGGGAGCAGGCCCAGACCCTGCGGCACGTCCTGGATCGGCTGCGCATGGACCCAAACTCGCCAGATAACATTTTAAAGCTCGCAAGCCTTCGAAGGACCCGGCTGAAACAATCGGAAAACACGAACAAAAGAACTTGCGCGCGCAAGCGTTGCGCTCGCCTTGGTGGGCCTGGCTGTCTTGTCTTGTCAACCTGTGGCTTCCTGGCGCCATTCTTAGGTCTTTGGTTTGGGATTGAATATTGACCAAAATGAGAAGTGCACCATGGGACTTGACGGGGGGTTTTGTGGTGGGTCATGTCCGGCTCCATCTTGGTGGGTGGGAAACATGTTCCTCCATCATTCTGATGAAGGGCGAAAATACACCAAATAATTCAAAAACAAAAATGTCTTGTCTTACTACTTGTTCGATGCTGGGCTGTCATCATGTGAGTAGAGTGCAATAATATGAAGAAAACAGCAGCATACGGTGGATGTCCTACATGTTGCAAGTAAGGGAGCAAGGACCCCCCCCCCCAAATAACCGTGATTTGGTGGTTGAGTGTGGTTGGTGTACTTGCGATAGTTAGGCAGGCCCAAGACCCATTGAAGCCTTGTCACAGCGCCTAGGAAACCCGCAGAACCGCCAAAAATGCTCCGAGCAACCCCTCCTCCAGCCGGTTGTGGCCCAAGTCCAACCTCCGGTTGAGTCGTGCGGCGCTCCATGGTCCATGTGGGTGTGTCGTTGTGTGAGGGTACTACAAGGAGCTGAAGAACTCATCTATGGGTCAAAATCACGTACCCCCAGTGAACATCCCAATCCCCACTAAAATAGACTAAAATGGGTGGTGCACCTACCCCCAAAATGGTACCATTGGTTTTGACCCACAGCCTTTTGGCTCTCTGGCACACCAACCGAGTTTCACGCAAAACTCGGGGATCGCACTCAAGCACGAAAACCCGGACTCGCTATGTCTCAACCACAAAATACTGTGGATGGAAACATCCAGTTGGCAGGTCGGCTATCCCAAGAACTTTTCGGGCTTCATCCATGCTGGCGAGCGCGAAGTGAACTTTGCCCAACACGGGATCGCCAAAATGGTTCGTGTTCGAGCTTCCCTGCAAGGCTTTTTTTGTTTTCCGGGGACCCTTTTTGGGGGTGAATTCAAAGGAAACCAACAGGAAAGCCACCTCTCTCCCTCTCTCTTTCTTTTTGGGGGGTCCCCTAAGAAACTACACAAACAAACAAAAAACTAACCCTGCTTCAGGAACTCCGACATATGTTTTGCTTTTATCAGTTTCTTCCTGGTGGCTTTTTTCCCACCCCCAACCAAAGTCGGCCCCCCCCAAAAAAAAAAAAAAAAAAGCGACACCCAAACCGCAGCCCTGTCGGCGGTCCCGCTTGAGCGCTTTCGCTCTCCGAGATCCCCGGCTCCCTCAGCATCGGCAGACGCGCCATGAAGCCGGTCCTTCAGTTGGCTTCAACATGTTCTTGCTGCGAGAGATGCTGGGAAAGAGAAATGCAATGAACCTGGGGGTCCCTTTAAAGGCACCCACCCGTTGGATGGTTTGTACGACCCATTCCCTTTAAAACCACACCACAAACTTGCTGGTGCGAGAGATGCAGGGAATGAGAAATGGAATGACCCCGATTTAAACCATCCAAATGGTGGTCTTTAAACCATCCAACTAATGGTTTCCTTTAAGGGGACCAAAGCCTGGGGTCATTCAACCACATTTCCTACCTAAGCTGGCTGGTCTTCGTTGGAGTGCCCTGAAAAGTCGGGGGAAACCAAGAACAGCTACCCAAAGACAAATCAGGGAGAAACCAGAGCGGAACAGAAAGGAAAACAACATACCAGAGGTTTGGGGGCAAAAGGGGGGAACACTTCGAGTCTTGGAGGCCCAAAAACAACCATACCCTACATGAAGGAGGTGGCAAAACTGACCCTTCGTGTCCATCATCGGGTTTTTTGTTCAAAGCTCCCTGAAAAAAATGAGGCGTGTCCAAGGTTTTTTGAGAAGACAGGGCTAGAGACTTGTAGCGAGTGCCTGCAGCGCGCCAAGTGAATTGAGCTAACTAGGACGCGCTACGAACCCGGCACAGGGCAGTCGGCTCCTACTTCCGTGCTCGTTGCCAAGTTGTTAAGTTGTAACGGTAGCCGAGGCATGATCCACTAATAAGTCCCCCGTTGAATGTGAAGTTAACCTGATTGCGGGGTTGAACAAACCCAAGTGCCTAACCACTTACTAACTTGCCCAAACATCCAAGTGGAGAAACCTGACACCTGGATTCCCAAAATGTGGGTGTTTTTTTGGATTTGGGCGCCCGAAATGGAGTGCGGTTTTCCTTTGCTTCCTTTAAGTGTCCTTTGAACCCCCAAACCTCTATAGTGCGTCTTTACCTGTTTATACCTTTTGAGCCAACCAAAAAGGAGGGGACTGAAGGGCAACCCGCGCTCATTAGCAGAGGGAACACAAAACTCTGCGCTACTTGCAAACCATCCTGAGCCATTCCTGAATGATCAAACCCCGTAGAAAATGGGTAACCAGTCTTAGATGGTTACCCCCAAACCGTGTTTTTCTGGGTCCCCGATCGATCTGTGTCGATCGGAGCAACCCCTTTTAGGCTTACTTATGGATCTGGGGGGTATGTAATTCAAGGGGCGCCCCTCGGCCCCTCGGCGATTTCACAGAAATTTCTTCAGGTTTCACTTGGCAACCCCGCAGCAGGTTCTTTCTCACCTTCAGCACCTGACCAGCGATACGGGGACGGCGCTTTGGTCGCAAAAGGTTGATCGACCAGTCCCCGTGAAAAAAACTACCTGGCTCGTTTATATATATATATATGTTTCGCAATCTGACCTGGAACAGGACCAACTGCAATGATCCAAGCAAATTTGCGGGGTTTCCGATTTTTAAGGAACTGGTGCCCCAAACCACCCCGAGCCTATCTGGGCAAAGACACCATAGCCTTCAATTCCATCGCCGAGATCTGTTTGAAGGCGAAACAGATTCGCAAAGAAAAAGGGCTAGGGTCGGTGGCTCTAAAAATTATGTGTCCAAACAAAGAGTCCTTTATTGTTTCTTGTGGCTTCCCCTTTAAACCAATCTGGGAATTGAACCCCCTCAAGATTTGCAGTACATTCCTCTTTCGTGGACCTGCAAAACATCGGGTCTTTCTTGATTTGATCTTGGCGAATGAACAAAAAAGCGAAAGGACCTTTTTCCAGAGCGGAAGATCAAGAACATCGAGGGGTCGCCTGCAGCGATCCGAAGATCAAGACGCCCTGGGGGAACTCCTTCAGGCGCCTCGGTGCCACTTGAACGGCGACTTCAGTCGGCCCTTTTGGGTCGTCAAACGGACGTGTTCAGCTTGTAGACGCGACTGGCTTTTCGGGCCGCCCCAAAGGGGGAAAAAAAAAACTGGCAACTCGCTCTCTTGGCCGAAAGGCGCGCTGGTGCCCGCGATGCAATCCAGCTCCTTCAAGGAGTTCTCACTGACCTGAGCTCGAAGCTGGAAGTTTGTGGCGTGACTTTCCGACCTTGCCCACTCAGCGTGGCTTGCCCTTCAGCAAACAGGTCAAGACACACTGTAGAGGTTCGGGAGTGCACTTCCGGAAGATCCCGACCAAATTTTGGGAATCCAGGCGTCAGGTTTCTTTACTTGGATGTTTGGTCAAGTTGGTAGGTTCGCCACTTGGGCTTGTTCAACCCCCCAACCAGGTTTACTCCACATTCACGGGGGACTTGTTTCAGTGGGTCATGCAACCGAAGGAGTACCGTTACAGCTTACTAACTTGGCAACAAACACCCAGGTGGAAAACGACTGGGTTTAAGCCTACCTTCTAGTTGCAACCATGGAGCCCTGATCGGCCAACCGGCTGCGCAAGAGCATCAGACAATCCGATTTCCTGTGTACCCCCAGATGTGTTCCAAGGGGGTTCCCCCGTCTTTCACCTGGAGCCCAGAAGAAGCCCGTCATGGTTTTTGAGGAAACTGCTCTTGGGGAACTCCCATTTCGGGTTCCATGTTACTTTGAGTTGACCAGGCCTAGGGGAAGCACTAGGTCAACAGAGCTTAAAGCTCAGTTCAAATGTCTGCTAGCAAGCCTGGTAAAGGGGTCTATCCCAAAATCGTGCAAAGAATCCAAAACCGCCGGCCACATCCATTGGCTGGGAGAGGAAAAAGATAACACATACTCACCTCAGCAAATGGAAGACTTTCGAGCATCAGTAGGAACTGGCCACATCCAAGCGATTTGCATCCGAACCTTATGTTGCTTTGATCTTCCGAAGGGCTAAAGGCAGATGATTCAAGTGTCATTTGAGAAGCTCCCGGATCTGGCAAGTTGCAATCGCTTCTTTTCCAGACACTTTACCCCAAAACCAGTCTCCCATCCACATGGAACCTAACGCTTCGAGTCCTGGTTTTATTCCATGTTCCTCAAAGGAGCCATTTCTCTGGGGGGAGGTCCTTGGCACCCTGGACAGACTGCAGCTTCCGCGCACCGAGGCGTTCCCGGCGTTCCCGAGGCTCAGGCATCGAGGCTCTCGAGGAAGGTGAGGTCCTGGGCTCGAGGGCAAGTTGGAGTTGGAGCCGCTCTTGTCGATGGCTCAACCACTGCTCAACCACACCACCAAACCACCAATCCAATCCACCAATCCAAACCACCAAAAAGGGGGGTTACCACCAATCCAAACCACCAAAAAGGGGGGTTACCTCCAATCCAAACCACCAAAAGGGGGGGGTTGCCACCAATCCACACCACAAAAAGGGGGGTTACCACCAATCCACACCACCAATCCACCAATCCAAAAAAAGAAAAAAACAACTCGGGGGAAGCTGGTACATGGCCGTGAAGAGAAAATGGCTGGAAAATTGGTGAAGAGAAATGGTGTGGAATACTGTTAAATAAACATTGTAGAAAGTTGGTGACGAGCAAACAGCAGGCTGATTTGGGAATCCCCAAATCATGTCGCTCCCGAGTGCCCTGGTGGATTTGAGGCAAACCTGAAAACCGTCAAAACTGATGTGCTTCCAGCCATAGACCAGCTGAAACCGTGTAAACCCTGGGACCCTGGTAACCTGCTGTGCCCGGAAGCACTGGGAGGGTCGGCCCAAGGAAACTGACTCCCTTCAACTTCTCAGCCCCACCGCGGGAGAAGGATCCCATGTTTTAGGCTGGACCCGGAAACCAAAAAAGCTCAGGCGATATCCCCAACCGCACCCCAGAACCCTCCCAGAACCCTGGTGCAACCCTCGAACCTTACCTCGCCGCCCCGCACCCCGGAGCCTGGGCTGAGACCCCAAAGCTGCCAAAGCTGTTGGGGAAGAAGAAAAACCGCAGCGACCAGCCAACGGCGGAGCTCCGTTCTTAGGCCGCTGCCACGGGTTGCTGCAGAAGGCCGTCCAAAGATTGCAGATTGAACACCTTCGGCCCAGGCACAGGGCTGTGGTGGTCAAGAACAGGGTAACCCCCAAAATTGAACCCTGGTACATGAAACCAAGGACGAAAACCTGCGGTCCAATCCCTGGTGGTTTAATTTTGACCCACATCCATATCGCGAAACACTGTGCCAGCTGGCAGCACCGAAAAACTCGAGGCGTGCTTTAGCGGGGCGTGGGCGTTTTTTTCTTCCCGAGGCCATAGGAACAGCCCCGCCCCAAAACAAAGAAACGACTCCTGCGGGACACATTCATCAGAAAAGCAACTCCAGCCTAGAATTGGAAGGTAAACAACTCCCCAGATCGCCAGGTCGCCGCCAATTTCCCAGACACTTCCCAAGAGAAAATCCGACGGTTCGACTCGCTTCCAATCTCCCTGCCTCGCTCCGGAAGGTGAGATGTTTAAAGCCGCGCCTCCTGCGGGACTCCAACGAGTCGTTCAGTGACCCGAGAAAAACCGGAAAAAATGGGCCCTGGACCAGTGGCAGGGAAGCCTTGCAACCCTTTTTGAGGTTGATCGTCCCATCAAAAAAAAACTGGAGCCCTGGGCTGGATATGTTGTAGCTTGGGAACCCGAACAGAAAGGAGTGTGGTTTGCCTGGTACCTGCAAGCCCACAATTCCGCGCGCTTTTCGCCGGATCTCCTTTCGAGGAAGCCCCTTGTTCTTGGGGCTCCATGTTCATTTAGGCACAGACGGACCAAATCCTGCACCAGCTAAAATGGATGAAACCCCCATGAAGAATGGAGGATTTCGTCCACCCACTGTGTTTCCTGCAATTGTGGACTCAATGGACTGCTGTTTCAAGGAGTTTCTTTGGCCCATGGTCACGGTTCCCTTAACTGGAATTGCAGTGGTTCTTCTGGATACTTACCACGTAGATGACTATCCCTGTGGACAAGTAAAGGAACTGGTCTATTGACAACCGGCCCATCTGACACTTCTGCTCACTCCTCCATGTAGCGCCGAGATAGGTGTCCAGCACGCTATGAGTGATGTCAGAGATCGCTGAGGGCCCCTGCGCGTCTCAACTGCCCCATCCCCCAAACACGCCACCAGTGCTGGTCTATGTTCGTCTTCCTCAAAGGGCTTGTTTGTCTTTGTTGCTGTCCCTATTATTATTATTTTTTGGGGGGTGAGGTGGGCGGAACACAGAGAATGCCTGAAGGAGCCTTGATGCCCTTCAATTCGTTGGGTGACCCTCAGCCCGCTGCCTGAAAATCACATCAGCCCACCCAAAGCCAGTCCAGTGCCTCCTCCGTCGCCTCCTTCTTCTCGTCCTTTTCTGGTGTCGCCTCGAGCCCCAAAACTCCCCAAAACCCGCCTTCGCTACGTCGACCTTGAGCTTCAGCTCACCCCCCCCGCAGAAATCAGCATCGCAGTCTTCACTTCCAAGCCCCTCATTTGCAGGTCCCTCCCTAGAAAGAAGGAGAAAATATGTCCAAGAATTATAGATATTTAAGAAGAAGAAAAAAACCACCACACGCCACGGGTCATGACCACCACACGCCGAACCCAACTCAAACCAACCCTGTCGACACTTCGGAGCTGCCCGCCTTGGACCAAAACATCAGACATTACGCCTCAGCCGCTGTCAGCTCATTTCGCTGAAGGAGGGACTTTTTGGAGTGAGTTGGTTCCCGTCTTGTTGTGGTCAAGGGAGAAACATGTGTATATATATATATACATATATGTATATATATATATGAATATACATATATTAATGTATATATATATATACATAATCTGTATTTCTTTCGTTGTTGGGGGGGTTGACCCTGCAAAAGGAGGAGCCACATCCCCTCCGAACCAACACCAAGCGAGCCCCTAGAAGCGCACCGTGCGGCTCGCCATGGCGACGCGCGAGGCAGAGTTCGAGAAGACCCCCTCGTTTGTTGTGGGAGTAGGCAACCTAGCAGCTTAGCATTCCTTTTTGTTGGACCCCTGCTAACTCTGAAAGGCTTGGGGTCGAATTCCCAGACTGCGAGCTCTGAAATGAACAAAAAACAGGGGCGAGCTCTGAAATGAAAGAAAGAAACAAGAAAAACAGGGGGAGCTGTTGAACTGGTGTGACACGTCAGCTTTGCTCGGCTGTTGCTGGACTGTTGGGACCCTGCTTCAACTTATTTTGCTTCAAGCCCCGCGGTTGCTGAACTCATGTCGTGATAAGCCTGGCGCGGCGAGGTGAACGTCAAACCCTCGCAAAGAAAATGAAACCTGATAGAGGGTCCCGGCTAGAGTCTGCTAGAGGACAAATCCCTGTTTGCTTTTGGGGGGTACCCTAACCAAAAGGCAGCAGGGAGCAACCGGCTTTGTTTTCGCGCGGCTCTCCGCTTGCTCCACCAGATCTTTCTGGACGAGGAACTTGGGAGCACTCTGCGGCCTATTTCAGCCTCTTGTCTTCGATTCCCTTTACTTTGGTGGAAAAAACATGTTTCAATTGGGCAAAGTGTATCTTTTAAGGAGCCCTGCCAAACATCCTGAGTAAGCGACGCTCTCCAGCCCGGGCTGGGCCAAATGCTTCGGCGGCAAGGTGTCCACTCCCTTCTGGCTTTGAGATGGGAGGATCGAACAGCGCCGACCCCCGCAACTGATCTCTCCAGCTCATATGCCTCACAGAATCGCCAACTGGCTTGTCCGGCGGCTTGAACTGAATCTTGTGTACCTTAGTGCTTCGGCAGCGAATGTGAAAAGTCAGACCTTTCGGCGGGGTATGTAAATCCCTCGAAACAAACACTCCACAAGTCTGAGGAATCACATGGCTGGGACCCACCGAGGTACCTGCTTAAGTTCACGTCTGGGCGGCAGCAGCGGAGAGGCTGGAGTCGTTGTCCACTCGCAGAAAGCACCGAACTTTCACGTTGGAAGGCAACAGTCGTGCCGTGTGCCTCACAAGCAGTCAAACTGAATCCTATTGCTATCACCGCCACAGTTAGGATCGCCCCAAGTCACCACAGAGCCGTCTGCCAGGACAGCAGCAAAAGCAGCCCCAGTTCCTTGAATCTGTTGGACCTGCACCAACTGCTCTCGAACCTGGTCGCTGTCGCCGCCATAGTCAGGATCGCCCCAAGTCACCACGGAGCCATCGGCTCGGATGGCAGCGAAAGCACGCAAGGTTGATTGAATCTGCTGGACCTGCACCAACTGCTCCTGCACCTGGCTGCTGTCGCCGCCAGTGCCAGGATGGCCCCAAGTCACCACAGAGCCGTCATGTCGAATGGCAGCGAAAGCACGCGGGGTTGATTGAATCTGCTTGACCTGCACCAACTGCTCTCGCACCCGGCTGCTGTCGCCGCCAGCGTCAGGATGGCCCCAAGTCACCACAGAGCCGTCATGCCGAATGGCAGCAAAAGCGCCATAACTTGCTTGGATCTGCTGGACCTGCACCAACTGCTCTCGGACCTGGCTGATGTCATGGCCATAGTCGCCAAAGGTTCTATCGCCCCAAGTCACAACAGAGCCGTCGTCCCGGATGGCTGCAAAAGTATGCCTCGTTGCTGCTTGAAAACGCTTGACCTCGAATAACTTCTTGGCAACACCCGATGAATCATGGCCCCAAGTCACAACAGAGCCGTTGGCTAGGATGGCGGCAAAAGCATATTCCTCTCCTCGGATCTCCTGAGTACCCACCAACTTTTCTCGCACGTCGCTGCTGTCACCGCCACAGCCAGGATCGCCCCAAGTCAGCACAGAGCCTCCTTCGACATAAAGCGCGAACGCTCGCCGAGTGGAAGCTAGCTTCACGTGCTGCACAACTGCAGCCACAATGTCCCCATCTCGCAGACCCACCTCAACCAGAGTGCGCGATGGGTCTAGTTTCTCACTTCTGAACAGGAGCCTCAGACCGCGCTTGAGCTGCTGCTGCGCCTCAGCCTTCAGCTCACGAACGCTCGACTCGGGAGGCAATGCAACGGAGCAGCTCTTGCCACTCGCCAGGCACACATGGAGTTGCATGGCGCCAAATTTGCAGGTCAGAGGACCGGCTACCGAAGCAGTGGCCACGGACCAATTCACGAAATCAGGTTCGCTTTCTGAACCGGTGAGCTGTCCGTGTATCTATGTATATATATATATATAGATAGATATATATATATATATATGTGTTGATCAGGGGCTTGCCCTCCCCCCCCTCAGACTGGGAATGCGGGTGGCAAAGCTTGGAGGGCAATGGGAATACCTGTGAGCGTCCAAAGTCCAGGCCTTGAGGTATGGACACATACGAGGTTGCGTGCGGTTCCATGTTGCGAGCAACAACAAGAAACAAAACAGGCACATGTTTTTTGGAACCGCAACATCCTCAGACACATACTTGCAACCAAAACATGCTCAGACACATTTTGTTTTTGAGAACCACGGCATCCCAAACACGTATGTAAAGTGTGGACACCCCATCTGGGTCGATTCGCCCAATGCGGGAACTGCGGTCATGACCACCCGCAGCCATTGATTGAAAGCAATCAGGATGCAATCTGTCTGCTGCACCCGACTATGTAACTATCCGATACAATATCAACATCAATGCACGTTTGTTTTGTTTTGGTGCACGCAAGCATTGGGGGCTGGCAGATCAGACTTGATCATGCGCTTGGCCATCCCGTGGGCATGGGGTGGGCATGGGCCCCACGTTGATTGATCGCGTTTTGTCGTGACCGGTTTCCCTTCGGATTCCAACCTCTCCGGTTTGCTCCTGGTGGACGCAAGCAACCTGAAATTCTGATATCGCTGTGCTGCAACGCCAACAAGGAGTCGGATCAACCATGTTCTGCCAATCAAACCAACATCACGCCTGTTCTGCACTTGCCAAACAGGCCCGTAAGAACGTCTCGTCTTGCCCTGTATCGCCGGGCCGTCATCCCGAACTGCCCACTCCCAATACATTGAGCATGGTATGGTGCTGCAAGCGCATTTTCAAGGCCGCTGCGGTGAAACAGACACACGTTGTTTCTGAGCTGGAATAAAACACTTTAAGCACTGCCGCTCGTCTGAGAAATCGCACAACAAGAAGGTCTCGAGCACACAATAGCGCCGTTTTTAATGTTAACAGCTCCTAGCTTGAACGCAAACAACCCGCACAAAAGAGAACCCACGAAGCAAGAAAAGCGCGCATTCCTTTTTAACCGGGTTCCGTGATTCGTAAGAGCGTACCGCGGGTACGGCCCTTAACAGCTGAGCGAGGGCAAGCGTGCCCAGGCTCGCTCAAAGGTGCAGAGAGTAGTAAGGAACACCGTCTTATAGGGACCAATTAATTTTCATTTTTGAGTCAAAAACCCTGCAAAACAGCCAAATTCTCCATCCTGCTGAACGTTTTTCCGATGTCACCGGTCTTTGTCACCGCTCCGTTTTTGGTCGAAAAAGTGCTCAAAACGGCCAACTTCCCGAATTCCCGAAAAGTTCGTTTTTTCCTGTCAGACGGCAAGCGAGGTGCCTCAACCTCTAGATTTGCTCGGTTTCGGCCGAAAACAGGCTCCGCACACTCACGCTGCCCTCGATTTCCGTTTTCTGCCCGGAAAAGCTGGCAAGTTCCATCCCGCCGAGCTTGTCACCACTTGTCACCGCTTCGTCACCGCTCTCTTTTGGACCGAAAAATTGCGCAAAAACGGCCAAGTTCCCGACTTCCCGAAGACTTTGTTCTTCACAGGATTTTCCGTTTTAGCACGACAGCCTGCCGAGGTCCTCGCTTGTGACCCGGCAACCTGCCGAACTTGTCGCCGCCTTTGTCACCGGGTCTAACGCGCCAGCCTGCCGAACGCCCAGAGGTCCTCCGACAACCTGCCGAACTTGTCACCGGGTCTAACGCGCCAACCTGCCGAACTTATTGAGGGCTCGAAAATCTTGGCAAGTTTGAGTCAATATTGAATCGGCCTGAAACAATATTGGTTCATTAATGGGCAAAGGTTGCCCGGTCGCGGCGGGTTTCGAGCCCCGGACCAGGGTGGTGCAGAGACAGCTTCTTTTGCTGGAAGCCGGCTTGTCACCGCTTGTCACCGCTTGCTTGTCACCGGGGCGCTTTTGGGCCCGCCGAGGTGTCCCACGGTCCGTGTCGCCCCGTGACACAAGCTTTCGTAATCCTCCGCGGCTTTGGTCTAAAAGCGAGGCCGGCTCCGCGGCTTCGGTCTGAAAGCGAGGCCGGCTCCGCGGCTTCGGTCTAAAAGCGAGTTCTATCCACCGAGGTCGGAATTCCGACTTCGCTCTCCCACCGAGGTCGGAATTCCGACTTCGCTCTCTGTCCTATATCATAACTATGCACACAATGCATAGTTGGATATAGCAAGGACCCGCGGGACTGCGAGACGTCCTCTAAAGACCCGCCGCTTGAAGGCCCGGGCCTCCTCCTTCTGCGAACAGGACGAAATTTTCGGCGATTTGTCCCGAAATTTTTGAGCGTCGTGCGCAGCTCAGGGGTGGTATCACGACCTGGGCCCGGGAGCTTGATTTGACCGACGCCATCGGTCAATTCATCGTAGCCATGCGCTACAACGAGAATGTCTTGACTCCGTCGATTTTGCCCGAAAAACCCATCAGGCCGTTGTGTATCAAGACCTGGGCCAGGGAAGTTGAATTGAAGGAAATTTTCCCTCAATTCATGTATGGTCCAGGACGTTATAAATTACGACAAGGACGTTATAAATTTATCACAACCCGCGTTACAAGTACGCAGCCTACAACCAGACTTTGGTCACTCCTAAGAAAACATGTTTGAAGGACCTGTCACGGGCAACATCCCGGAGGTCCTGGACAAGGCAGAGGTAACTGACGGCACGCGCGTCACCGCAGGGCAGCTAGCCCTCGCTCTGACGCCCTACGCGCAAGTGGCAGACCTGGCCGCTGACCAGACCAGTCGGCCTTTGACGTGCTGGGCGTGGTGGCCACGAAGAGCACCCCCAACAGCGT